TTCATTATTTATCAGCTTCGTTCATTTTTTTTCGGTTTTGAGCATTTTGTGCGGAAAGTCTTTACGATTGTTCTATTTCGATCGTTATTGGTTTTTCATCGTTGAGTAATGATTGGTGAACTGTAAAATGTTGTTTGACCATTTCACATCGAAGAAAATCTTCAAAATCAACCAATTGCAACTGGAAATTTTTGTCACATTGATATTTTTGGTTTATTATTTGTTGTATTTTGAAAAATATGATGAGTTGTTGAGGTGCTGAAATGGAGTTGAATATTCATGACGGTACGGTCCGAGACGTGATATTCATGGAGGATACTGTGAATCGTTCAACTGTGCTTGTTTCTGGAGGTGCCGGAAACTGTAAAATACATCTGACTGATTGCGCTACTGGACAAACCTTCACCTCGTATCAAGGCCATACCGGTCGGTTGCTTTTGTTCTTTGTTTGTTTCCTTTTCATTTGTTCCGAGAAATTATTAGAATACAGTTATATCAACGTGAGTTCAGCGCCGATTCTTGGTTTGTACACGTGGGGCAGTGGATCGTTCGTGAGTTGTTCACAAGACAAGACTGTTCGTTTTTGGGACTTACGATGTACACAAGCGATCAACGTTGTGACTGCTACCAACAGGACATCTAGTACATTTATGCTCTTATTGTCATCACATCAGGGTATTTGTAAACGAGCAGCAGAATGATAAAGGTCTATTGCATGTGCACCAGTAACGTCGGTGTGTGTCGATCCGGGGGGTAAGCTGCTGGTATCGGGACATGAGGACGCATCGGTGATGTTGTATGATATCAGCGGGTCTAGAGTCGTGCAGATATTCAGACCGCATGCGGATGAAGTGAGAACGGTTCGATTCAGTAATGCTGCTTACTATCTNCCAGTTGCTGAACACAACGATAAAGTTATTCAGTGCAGGTTTACTTTACTATATTCATATATTATTCTCATTATTATGATGTTATCATCGTTATGATTTTTATTTCAGATGGCATCCTCACGACTTCTCGTTCTTGAGCACAAGCGCAGATCGAACGGCTATTCTATGGTCGTTACCACCCCCACCATCTTTTCAGTGAATTATTATTGCTCGTTACACTGATCACATTTGATATTTTCTTGGTCATCAGTACTTTCCATGATCATTCTCAGAGTCATAATCACATATTGAGATTAATGCCTGCTAGTCTTCGTACATATTGTTATTATTATTGATATTATTATTATTATTGTTATTCTTATTATTATGACTAATATTATTATTACTTATAATTATTATTACAATCCATATTATTAAAGACAAGTCAATCTGGATTTGTTCATTCTATTTGATAATTTTGAAAACAAATCATGTTTTCAGTTAATCTACATTAAGGATATCCATTAACGAATATTTTGTTTGGTAGAATTTAGAACGAAATGCTGTATGAGAGGATACGTCTCAATGAATAGTTAGGCAAAGTTACGAGAATTGGATTTTTGATCAGATTTAACACGATTCTTAACGTATATGGAAGAGAGTTATGAGATTTTTCAAACACATCTTTCTTAATTAGCAATTTTGGAAGATGCGGTGAACAGCGTTTAGTTTCGTACAATTTAGTAGTTTAAAATGTGATCTCATGTTTTTATTTAGGAACGTTGAAAAGACCCTATAGCAGTGGCATAGTCAGGGTTTTCCCAGGAGAGATGAGGGGGAGCAAAACGCTGGGCACCCTCTTTGGTTACACACTTGTAATAAAACCAAACAGAAGATGTTCACTGCCAACAAAGTTGCGCTCACCAAGCACATGAATTCCGTTTCTCGTCTTTTCATCTGCTTCAACCGGAAGAAAATCACTTCAGAGTTCGAGTCAGCAACGGTCTATTAACACAATCTCTCTGTATGAATCGCTCGCCATTACGCATCTTTCACTTGGTTACTTCTGCCCGATCATCGAAGAGCCTCAGTCTTTGTATTGGAATGATTGATAATACCGGGTAAGGCGTTACCGCAGGATGTGACGAAGAAAGAACTGCTTTCGAAAATTTTGGAAATCCGATTTTGTATATCTAGACCAACAACTGAGACCATTCTTTGTAAATTCACACACCAAGTTGAGAGATGAGGGCGTGGGGAGGAGGGGGAGCTCCATTTCTGGTAACTGAAATCATGGGGTCATATTCTGACCTGATCGTGATGAGAAACACGATGGTTTACCCGTGGTTTATTTTGAGTTAATTCAGAAGTGATTCCACCATCATCCTACTCGATAGAAATGAATGGGAGACCCCATAATAAATTGTTGACGAATATGAGAATACAAGCTTGGTAGAAAATTAAAATCTCTACCAGAATCCGTTTTCAGACTGCAAGTTATGAGTGACTTGTCAAAGATTTCGTGCCAGCGAAGTTTAATAATTTTAATTTTTTTTTGGTGCCGATAGTTTAATAATAATGTTTTTTTTNTTTTTTTTAAATTCAAAGTTTAGTTTTTGCTGGGTAATATAAATGGGAGCGATACACATATCATGTCATGATTTGCTGTGATATGTATCTTGTAGAGAATGGATTCTGATTTCTAACAAGTTTCTCATAAATTGCGAATTTGAAATCGATTCTCATAGAGAATTTAATTCTTTACAAAACATATATACTCATATCCGTCAACACTCGTTCCAATATACCGTACGTAATCTGTGCATCACCCCTCACATTGTTTCATTACATCACTTGCATTTGTGATAGTGGCCGAACGAATGGGATCCGAACAAAATTTCGGTTCGATCGAGATCTCTCGATTCCGTTTGTCGAATTAAGCCTAGTTTGATCTACATGTAATATATTCATATGCGTCTATTTTGGATATTCTGAGCATGCTTTTGGCCTGATCTAAGTATTAAGATATGTCCTTTTAAATGTAAATACTACTAGGAGTTATCTGTATTTCTGTCGACTAAAATTATGAGTCACATTTCGAATTGTCCCGAAAAAACACCTTAGGATACCTGCGGTCTAAGACTATAAAGCTTTTGAAAGTGTTTGGCCATATCGACCAAACAGCCAGGCTTCATGCAGAAATGGACTAGTATCGGTGAAGCATTGTCATGGGACACGGTGACTGAAAAAATATTTTTAAAATTTTAAAAACCATCTTCCGGCTCCGACCTCCTGGCCTTTCCGGCTCTTCAGACGTCCGGTTCCAGTGGTTTTCTTCCGATTAGGATTCGGGTGAATCTTCTGTTCGCATCTCACCTTAGTGTTCAATGATAGAATGGAGTGTAAATGTGTTGAAACGAAACGATCAACTTTTTATCGACACATGGAACACGCAAGGTATGGCAATTCGTTCAGGGGCCAATAAAAGAGGGCGATGAACCTTGATTTCAAGAAGTTCAAGTAAAATATGGTTTGATAATCATTGATGTTGATCGTGAGCACTGCTGTCAGGGACATGATACTTTGTTGTGGTGGTGGGCATTAGACGCGAACTGGAACATCGTCGCAATGAGAGCGATGAGAAGAGTGGTGTACACTTGAGCATGTCCTTCAGCTGGATCGACTCGTAATTCTCGATCGACTCTTGGAATTTCTCAATCCACTGATCCTGATTTTCATATCATTACTTCTTGACGGTAATTTGTAAAGTGATCATTTATTTTTAGTAACAGTTAACGTAATAACGAATGATAATGTAACAACGAACTTTATCGTGTTTATTTGCAGCCTGAAGAGTGTATATTGAAACAACTTGATAGTATCGTGTCAAATGAATGATCACAAACGCAAACTTCAGTGACACTGTAATAAGATTTCGGTTGCATTTCTTCATTCGAACGAATTGAGAAATAAGACCGATTAAATTATTGGTGACGATGAAAATGGTAATAATAACAATACCATCAGTGATATCTGTAATAACAATAATGATAATAATAATAGTACCAACTTGAAGTAGTGGAATCATTGGAATCGGCATCACAAAAAACACAAGAATCTAAAGGAACTGGTTGCTTTTGAACGACATAGTGCTCGGTTCGAGTCATTTGCGTTGAGCCTTTCTGAAATTTTTTAATGAATAATGTTTTGAAAACATTTTCTTATTGTTAGATGTTAACTTATCGACGTGAAAATTATCGATGCATGCGCAATGAGATGCTAAGTGAACGACATAGTGCTTTTGAAGGACACAGTGCAGATTGACTGACATAATGAGATAAATTTTGTTCATCTCAAAAGAACATGGATATGCAGCATAACAACTCACAATTGGTACCTTGAGCCTTGTAGAGCATTTCTTAACTTTTGTCAACACAAACATATCGTTGAAAAGAAACGCGTAGCAATCCGATGTCTTGCCGTTCTCTTAATCTCATCCAATTACATTACGTTAAAATGTTCAAAACAAAGTGGTTAGTGTTCGATGCAAAGAATTTCTTTCCATCGAAAACAAACCATTCTAACAACAACATTCATAAACATACCAACAAACTCAAGATGTCCTTCATGCATAAGTTTTCGTCTCGGATGAGCCAGTAAATTCTCACAAAACTGTCGCGATAATGCGACACGAAGAAACTGAAAAAGTTTCAATAAGAAGTTCGCGTGTTATTAAAACATCCGCATAAGACATGACAATACTGAACTTCCGGTACTGATAACATAATAACATAAATTAATTCTTATCGCTTCGGTTAATCACATCAATAACTGAATCGATAAGAATTTGCGCAAAACACTGGTCGTGTCAATGTGCAATGGAACAATCGTAACTAAACTAACATCCGGAATGAAGCTTCGTGGCTCAATTTCCATGATTGATGGCCACACAACTTGTGTTTGTAGCTGTTGTAGACGTTCGAAGTTGTGTAACCACTGTACAGAGTCATCGATCGATCCTCAAATCATAGCTTATGTGATCATACTTAATTATCAAAATTCGATTATGATAACGCAAAAGATTCGAGGTCGATAGCGCAATTTTTTACTCTAAAAAATGTGATATTCGGGATCGCTTCAAAACGTGAGTTTTGATGTGATTGGATATGTTTGAAGATACTCAAGAACAAGACAATTCGCTGCATTACAAACAATTACGACTAATTTTTTAAAACAGATCCCGATATTTGCCCCCACTTTCATCAATCGAGATACTTTCGTATTCATTTGGCGCAATATCGTATTGTCATATCCCCTCACTTAATCTAGATCTAAGATGAAGGAGTTGCACCCGAATTTCACCTATAAATTCAGTCTGCTCTCACTTATCGTGCCCGGCTATTATACATAACTACGACCGGATTTTACACATAGAAGAAATTTTACTTAGATTTACTAGGCTATTCTATCTCATTCCATCACAACTTTACTTGCGAAATTCATTTGATCTGTATTTATCTATTTCTTTTATGTGATCGTTTCCTTTCGCACTGTTTAATCGTGAGCATTAATTGATGCCACTATTTTATATGTCTATTTTGTTATTTGTTATTCGGACACTGAGCAGTTGCTTTGGCGATCGATCGGCAAAATGTTCATTTTAATTAGAATTACGATTGTTTACTGGATTGGTATTTCGGCAACATTTAGTTATGCAAAGTAGCTACGGTAACTAATTAATTATTCTAGCCAACGGTGTGGTGTCAAATAAGGCTTAAACAATGCGAGTAGAAATGCGTTATGATCAGCAATTCGTTTAAGCCTTATTGTTGTTTCCACTCGCATTTCAAACATTTAATAGCCTGATCAATCCAGGTATTTCACCTCATTGCAGTGGAATTTTAATTTTATAAAATCCGTTCTGCTTGCATTCGCATGTTATTCTATCAAAAATTTTATCTACAACGCCCACTCCACCCGATTTACCAGCTCATTCTAACTGAATTCACCACACTTTACCTATAACGTCGATATGTTATACCTAGCTATTCTACGCGAAATTACTGAATTCTAACCTACAAAGTCCATTTCAACTAGATTCGTTTGGCAATTTCATTTGAATTCTGAAAGTTGCTCAGAACATATCTGGTGTAACCAAGTCAAATATCTCATTCTCAAAACATAAAAATCTAAATCCAAAGAATTTGAAATATAATCCAAACAAAGTACTTAATATCTTTAATTCAAATCTTACAGGCAAAAGATTTCCACAAGCAGATGCTAATCCACAACAAAATGTTATGAGAAACTATATTCGATGAATTCCAGGACAGAGGCGAGACGCGAGTATTTAAGGATGGAAGACGGGGTATCGTGGTCGCGATTCATATTAGAGAACGCATGCTCGATATTGTCAACGTCAAGTCAATCACAGTGGTATTGCGATATAATTGTTATTGTGAAGTTATTGTTATCGTGATTCATTAATGCTATTAGTCGTCGAAGATTGAATATTGTATGCAGACAATGTGGGTCAGATTGACCAAATGTTATTGCTGAGTTATCATTGAAAGCTGACTAATAAATACAACATTAAGCTTCCACTGCGTATCCACCGACATATATTTTTACTGGTAGCAGCGAGTGGTTATCAGGCAATTTTACACATATCTTATGTGTACAGCNGAGTTATCATTGAAAGCTGATTAATACATTAAGCTTGCACTGCGTATCCACCGACATATATTTTTACTGGTAGCAGCGAGTGGTTATCAGGCAATTTTACACATATCTTATGTGTACAGCTGATTGCTATCTTTCAATACTCGACCGCTGAGAACCGCAATGACAAGAACAAATCAAAAACGAACTCAGCGATTCATTCATGGTATCAATGACTTTCTCAATGCGTGCTTTATCCTCGTCACTCGACGTGTACTTGTGTATTTCTTTGAGCAGTATCGGTAACCTGGTGATACGTTGCAGTGGTGCTATCAGCAGATCTTCCAATTGCAAACGTTCACAACGAGCATCTGTTAAACACACCTACAATACACAAAACTCACTGATTATTCTCCTCATTTCATCAATTACCACCAGAAATGATCAGATCACTTTGAAAGAATCAAAACTAGTTTTCGTCGGGGAACGGGTCCCACAACGAGTAGCGATCCTCAACAGTTTTACTCTCTTTGGAATTTTTAGTCTGGGTGCCCTCCAGAGACTGATTCATCCCCGGGTACTCCATGAACAATTCACTCCTCAACTTTTCTATTGGGGTTCCTCCCTCGGCCACCCTACTCCACAACGGAGAGGACGAGCTCCGCACGAGAATTCCTCGACAATTCCCCGAGAAACCTTTACACAACACGCTTTCTGTGGATGGAATTTTGAATATTGTGCTTCTGGAGCGAAATGGCGTTCCTTTCAGTAATCTACAATGCTCATACGGCTATTGGAGCGCTCGCTGATGTATTTGAGTGTGATCTTGTTCATATTAAACTTATCCGAATTTTTTCGATCCCCGCATCAGGGTTGAGCATCAGACTTGTGCTTGGGCTTGGATGCACACTTAGGCATACAAGGGGTAAAAACATCAGCGTTACTGCTACATCTAGTTTGCTGCGGGTATCGAAGAACTTCCGGGACCCTGTCCCCGA